CCCTGCAATGAGCTGTGCTGCTGCCAGTGCCCCGTGCAGCTGTAGGGCTGCTCAGCTGTGGGGCAGGGACAGGAGCAGGAGGCTGCATGTGCAGCTGAGCCATGGCTGCAAAGCCCAGGGCTCTGGGCTCCCTGCTGTCCCAGGCCAGCCCAGAGGCCAGGCTGTTCCTGTGGTAGCTCTGTGCAAGCGGGACAGGGCTTTTCCTCTGGAGTGCTTCAAGGGTCTTCATGCCTGGAAATGTCAACTTGTGCAGCTATTTAGAAGTTTTCAAGGATTCTCTCCCACAAAATATGGAGCTTCTGATGCTTTAAGTTTGCTTTGCTGCCTCAGTAACATTTTTTGTTTCTTCTTGGCAGGGCTGACTAGGTTCATTTTTTCCAATTCTTTCCGGCTATCTCCTTCTATGCTCCTTCCCTCCGCTCTGTTTCCTCCCAGCTGGAAAAACTCTCAGTCTTCCAACAGAAGAGAAATGTGCAGCGTTGAGAAGGAGAGTGGGAAAAATGGCAGTGGCTATGAGGAAGACACCAGAGAAAGAGAGGAGCTGAAGTCAAAGGGAAAAAGGTTTACGGTAAGGAGACCAAGCTATGTCCTGTGTGGGAGATTTTCAGTTGATGTGCTGCCAGCAGAGCTTGGTGAGCTGTCCCTGTGAAGTGAGCCCAGGGAAGCAGCTGAGCCAAGGAAGAGCTCAGCTGGACACTGAGCTTCAGGATGTCTTTGCAATGGGTGTGTGGTGCAGACTTCACATTTTCAGTGTGTAACAATAGCAGGAGAGGACTTTGAAGGGTTTCTGGGTTCTCCCTCAGCACTTCCCTTTGCATTCCCAATCCTGGGCCAGGCTGTTCCATCAGTCTGATTTCTGTTCTCCTGCCAGGTCCCAGTGAAGACCATGGCTAAATGTCTTGAGGCATGAATGGGGACAGGACTGGATGCTTGATGTGAGCATTGTACTCTACTCTTTGCAGGCTTCCTTGCTGTATCCCACTGAAGGGGATAAGAAGAAGGGGTCACTGGGACTGCCTTTGATCCCCCCGATACGCAGGGCAGTAAGTCCCGATGTTGGCAGTGCTGCAGGGTCTCTGCAAAGCTCTCTGCAGCTGGATGTGCAAGAGTCCCAGGAGATGAGGTAAGCCAAGGTGTCTGCTGCTCCAGTGTGCTGTTCACCTCGCTCTTCCCATCTCGTGAGGTTATTTTGCACAGTCAGCTCTGCCATGTATTTAGGCAAACCTCTGTGTATTCAGCATTTGGCACTATCTGTGGTGATCCAGCCCAATGTCAAACCCACCACCAAATGGCCCAAGAGCAGAGGTGGTAGTGGGAAAGAGGAGGGAGGACTGAAAACAGCCTCAAGACAGGTCCTCTTCTGGACCTGGCTATTGATTCCCTCTGTAATGTTTGTGGTGTCATTTGGGAACTGTATTGCATGGGTCTGGATGCTGCAGATCTTTGAATACTGTGATCCTTCACTGTCAACATCTGCAGCCACAAGAATATGATTGGACAAATACTACCAATTGTTAAGGTGTCTGCAAATTCCAGTGCTCATTGCTTTAAAGTCAGGTGCCATAGTTCATGTGCCAACACTTCTAAAATAATAATTATTTTTTTTTTTAAATATACCGACAATCCCCAACACAGAACTGAGTGGGAGTTACAGAAAAAAGGGCGATGAAAACTAGCTTTGAGAATCAATTACTTCATAGATGTAATTGTCAAATTCTGGAGACCATTGTGTGTTGCCAACTGTTCGAAAGAAAAGGGATCCCAAAGTAAACCTAAGGTGCAAATTCTCTGTGCTGGGTCTCGACTGTGAAATGAGATCCCAGAGATGTTATGGGGTATAGATGTGTAATCCAATTGATGTTTAATAATTCAGTCTGGGCTTCAGATCAAAAAGAGCAAGGTGCAGGAGAAGAGGTACAGGACTGTAGCTGATGGAAAGATATTGGCTTGGAGAAGTGTGAGAAAATGTAGCTGTCAAACTTATCAGAGTGGTAGCAATAAAAAAGGAGTCACAGAACTATCACTCACATTGAAAATCTTCTGTAGGGCTTTTAAAGTGCAGTCTGAATATCCTTCCATAGATGCTGTGTGTGAAAAAGCATGTTTTGTCTTGAAAGAGTAAGGAGGTGTAATATCATTCTCAGGAGACAGCAGTGCTCTGACCACATGGAGCACGAGACTGTCACCAGTGTAAGGCACAAACAGGCAAAGTCAAGCTTTGCAGCAGTACAAAAGGACCTGCCCTCCATAGAGACTCGTGTCTCAGCTCAGCAGCTCTTGCTGCTTCAGAGAGGCTGTAGGAGCCACTTGGCTCCAAAAGGAGAGACAGCAGAACTGGGGGGTTATGATGCAAGCTGAAGAATGACTGCTGTGTTTCAGCCGGAGCTTGGCCAGCTCTGTCTGACTCCAGCAACTGAGAGCTTAAGGACAATGAATCATCTTTGCATCTTGTTTAGTTTCTGTGTTGCATTTCCTCCTTCATCAGAGTGACCATGCTAAGAAGGGTTGCCTCCTTTCATGCTACACGCATTTCCTCCGTTCTCTTTCTTCCTCCTCATCTGTTCTTTTGCCTTCCGTTTTCATAAGGTCCACACCCAGCAGCAGAAGTGAAGATGACGACTCTGAAGAAGGAGGTTGGTACAGGACATGTCTGTCCTCAAATGACCTTAAGAATTTTGACACAGAAGTGATATTTCGAAAGCTTAGTTTAAAAATAATTCTTTTCAAAATTTGTTTAAATTATTTTCAATTCCTTGATGGTCTCAATGGGCTCTTGGAGAGCCCAGTCACTGGGAGTGTGCTGTGGTGGTGCAGTGAAAATTCCTCCAGTGTGAAGTGCTGAGTGGCTGGAGCTGGAGTGGTACCTTGCGGCCCTGGAAATGCAGTGCAGGAAAAAGAAACATTCCTCTCCATCCAGCCCATGCCGTTTATCTCCCTGCAGCTTTTCCAGTGTCACAGTCAGAGAAAAAGCAGGCATTGAGCATGAAAAGGGAAATGTTCCCAGTCCTTCTTCCTGCCTTTGAAGGTGAAAACCTTTCCTTGGGGCACTTTCTGAGCTGAACCCTTTGGGATATGAAGGGGATGCTTGGACATTGTCTTGTTCTGCACTGGGAGAAATAGGGAAACCTCCTTTGCAGGGAAAGTCCCTGTGAAATTTGCAATTAAGGAGCAGGAGGTTTCTATACACAATCCCTGTTTTATGAGACCTCTGCAATCTGGAATCTGTCTTGCCTGTTGCCCAGCATGGTGTTTTTGAAGGCTTGAAATCTGCCAGAGATTTACACCAACCTTTCCTTCCATTCCCAGGCCTCCCACTGAGCCAAGCCAAGGGGACAGATCATCCCACCAGTCCTGGTCATATGAGTGACGAAGACCTGAGGGACAGCTCTGGAAAGGTAAAGGTTAAAGACAGGGATGAGCAGACTTCCTTTCCTTATTGCTTGGCCCCAAATGTCACTGATCATCATAATCTCCATCCTGGGGGATGGGGATTCTCCTGGGAATATATTTGACAGTTAAAGAGCAATTGTGTGGCTTCTACCAGTGGTGAAAAGGTGACTGATTTGGAGATGGTGCTAAGGTCATGCCAGAAGCATTCTTTAGGTGCCAAGGTCATTTTAGAGAAGTTCTGAATGGCAGAGCAAGCTGCAGACTTGTGAATGTGTGCAAATTGCACCCTCAGGAGCAGAGAAGCAAAGATTGTAATGTTAAGCGTAAGCAAGGCTGAAAAATAAAATGAGAGTTTGATTTTTCATGGTAACCTTTCTGGCTGTATCTCACAGCCCTCTCTTTTTCACTTTTTCTGCTCATTAATATCAATATTTCTGGAAATTGTTTTCACGTGAGTCCTTTGCTTGAGGTCCTTCAGAGACCTTCAGAGCTGAGCTCTTCAGAAGCCAGGAAGTGAGAAACAGCTGCCATTCCTGGCCCTGAGTGTTAAGCAAGAGCAATTACCCCTCCTTGCTGCGTATTTATTGCACATGGTTTTTATTCTGCTGCCATGGCCTGTAGGAACTGAACTGCCTGCTCTCTGGTCATGTGAGCTCTTCACCTGTCTTGGAGCACTCGTATGACTTTGGTGCTTCAAGCAGGGCTTCCTGTCATAGGTTGCAGTTGGGGCAGTGTAAGGTTGTGGCCCTAAAGTCTTCCACCTCCTTGTGTGTAATTGCCAAGATGAGGGTAGAAGACATTCTTCTGAAACACTTGGAATGAATATGGAGCTGCATTAAAGACTGTGGCACTCTATGGACCCTGTGCTCCTGATGAGATGTTGTGTCTGGTTTGGGTGTCTCTGCTTACATTTGTGATGTATTTCCTTTGCAACTAGATCCGTCCTGCATTGTGCAAGTTGGCTCAAAAGAACTTAGAGCGGAAGAAAATGGAGCTGTTGGAGAAAGAGCTCAAGAGAAGGAGACAAACAGAAACATCCTTGCAGCTGCCTCCACAGACAGCTGACCCTGAGGATGCAGAAGAAGCAAGTAAGTGCAGACTACACCTGTGGTCCTTTTTGACCGCTTGCTTGCCCTTTGCACGGTGCTGCAGTCAGGCTGTTCTGCTTGCATCTGAGTGGAAGCTTGAAGAGGAGTTCTTCCCCCTCCCCCACAAAAAATACAGAGGCATGTATGGCCTCACTGACTCAGTAACAGAATATCAGCTTCCCACCTTCATCTCCAAAGTCTTTCAGAGTAGAGAATTGTGTCTTGCAAAGTTGACTGGGGCTTCAGACTCTCTCCTGGAGAGCAGCCTGCAGGGAAGGGGAGCCCAGAAGAATGCTTCTCAGCCATGGTGGAACTGAGAGGAAACAAAATTCAACTGCTTCTAATGAAAACACCAGAGATCCTTCTCCTGCCACAGCCTGCTGAGGAGCTGGCACTGTAGAGCTGTGCTGAAGCCCTGAGCCAGTGCTTCTGTTGTAGCCCCAGGAGCAAGGAGCGTTCCTGACTGAATCCTGGCTGAGGGGCTCTGACTGCAGTGCTGTGTGTGCTGCCCCCAGGGTGGCAGCAGGGACCTTAGGAGGCAGCACTCAGCCCAAGGGCATCACTCAAGGCTATCTGCACTTTCATTTGGTAACTTCCCCAGCCAGACTCGGAAACAGGAAAACAAAAGCAAAGCAATACTGGGTTTTCCTTCTTTCTTAGGGGAAGCATCACTGCAATTTGGTTTTAAACTAGAAGAGGGTAGATTCAGGTTAGATTCTAGGGGGAATGTTTTTATAATGAAGGGGATGAAGCACTGGAAGGGTTGGCTCACAGAAGCTGCTGTTGTTGATCCATTCTTGAAGGTGTTCACATCCAATTTACATGGGGCTCTGAGGAATCTCATCTAGATGAAGATGTCCCTGCTCACAGGGGTTGGACTAGATGGTGCTTAGAGGTGCCTTCCAAGCCAAACTCTTCTAGGATTCTGTGATACTGTGATCACAGTCCCATGTTAGCATGCCACTGTTATACTTGAAGTTCTTTGGGATAACAAAGAGCTGTTACCCGAGTCCAGCAAGTTTTCTGGCCCTTTCCATCGTCACCCTGTGCAGCAGCCTCCACTTACAAGCTCCTCTTTGGTCTCCCCACAGGCTTTAGCGTACCGCCTGTCGATGGCACAGCTTCCAGTGTGCAGAGAAAACACCCTGGTAGTGCCTTGAAGAAGAAGGTCTTGAGGAAGCAGGACAATGTGCCCTCACTGCCCAATATGCCCATCATCCATGGGGATGGCAGCTTCCCACGCAACTCCTCAGGTAAGCCTGCTCTGAGGCAGCTTTTTCCCCCACGGGTTTTTCCTTGCCCAAGGGGCACAAACTGCCACCTGCCTCACCCAGCACAGCTGGGATCTTGGGTCCATAGCCTGTCCTGAGAATGAACAGCAAGTGTACTTCTGAGTTAGTCCAGCTCTGCAGTAGTGGAGCAGTTGGTTCTTAGAGATCCATTGGAAAGTTGAGCTGAATAAAGTAGTGGTAAAGGCCTAAGCTCTGGCTTTTGCCCCTCCTGATAATCCAAACCACAGCACTGGTGCAAGAGGCAGCTGTAACTGCAGGGATGAGCTGTGGGGCAGTGTGCCAGGGTGTGCTCACTGGGCACCTACGAGTACCACCACGATCAGTTGTCCACTCACCATCTCATCCCTCTGCCTGTGCTGCTGTCCGGCTCTGCAGACAGCTTTCCTGCTATCCCAGCAAGGGCTGTCTCTGCGTGGCAGTCAGCAGCTTGGTGCAGTCGTGCTGCTGCTCCCAGAAGTGCCCAGTGGCTCCTCACTGCTGCCATCCCACAGCCTGCAGTGCCAAGAGGGAACAAGCAGTGCCTCCTGTGTCACCCCAGCCAAATACAGTGGTCGTATGTAGCAGGTGACAGCCAGGAGGGGCTGCCTGGTGCTCCCAGGCTGTTTGCTGCCTGCAGTAAATACCCAGCAGATAGTCCCTAGTGGCTCTTGTCTCTCCCTTGTGGGTAGAGTGCCTGTGCTAGCATTCCAGGTAGGGTGAGATAAGAAGAAAGGAGCTAGGAATGATACTTGGAATGCTCCTTTCTAGAGGTGCTACTTCCATGTTGAGAATTGACCAGAAGTAGCCTGACGTGGCTCTCCATTCATAGTGAACCTAGATGTGTATGTCCACACACTTCTGCAGTGACATCACTGATGTCAGTGTCTGGGGTACATCAGTGACATCCACATTAGCCCCTGTCTGAATATTTTTGATGTTATGGTATACTTTGTGAGAACAGGCAAGGTAGCACAGAAACCCTGCAGAGTCTAGAGAAGTTCATCTAGATTCTGTTCAGTGTTGATAGTCCATCATTGTAGACAGCTCTGATGTTTTCATCTACACATTAGGAAATGAGCTATTGAGAGCATGACATGAAATTTTGGATGCACAGTGCTTTTGATGACAATTGGGTTTCATAAGACATGCATTTATCATCTGATTTTTCTCATACCTTGTACATTTTTTTCCATACCAAAAAATTCAATTAAGGCAAAGCCTGGACACCTGATTATCAAGAGCATGTGTCTGGCAACAATTTGCAGCTGTATTTGCATATTTTTATCCTCAGTTTGCATTTGGAAGGCTTTTATATCAACTGTCTAGACTGGAAATGGCATTTTTCCTCAAGTGAAGGCTTAGGCACTGCTGAGTTCACAAACACATCCATTTGATGACAAAGAAATTTCACTTCAGCATCTTTGAAATACAGCCAGTGTGTCCCTCTGAAAGGGCAAAGACTCATGATGCTTGGAAAGAACAAAATCCATAAAGTACTCCCTGGGCAACAGTAGGCTACAATGTATGTGCAGTCAGCTGTCTGCTGTCTAGAAGATTTGAAGGCAATGGGAAGAGAGGCGCTGTCAGGAGTGAAGGGTCAGGTATCGCTGCTCCCTGGTAGCTGCTCCGTGGGGATTCAGCCGGGCCCAGCAGGGCTGGGTTGTTCAGGCTGGGCTTGGTGCTGTGGCGAGGCAGCTGCAGGTCTTTCCTCAGGGAGTTGCAGAGTGCCTCTGTCGTCGGGGCTGGGGGAAATCAGGGCGCTGAGACAAGAGAGGCAGCTGAGGGGTTCCCTCCTGGGCTAGCAAGTCCTGCTGGTGGGCGCTGTCTGGCAGGCAGTGGGAGCTCTGCGGCCTCAGGAAGCTGCCGCTGCCTGTGGTAGCTGTGGCACTTGGCAGCTGGCGCTGTGTGGGCAGCTGTCAGCTTTAGCCTGGAGCTGTGCCCAGCTGGGGGGGCTGGGAGAAAGCAAGCAGCCCAAGGAGCCAGGCAGCAGGGAAGTGTCTGTCCCAGTGCCACTTTGTCCCACACGGAAGCCTGGCTGGGAGATGGGGCTGCAGGCCGCTCTATGGCGGGGTGCCTTGCCCGGGGCTGCAGCGCTCATGGCTGACCCTCTCCTCACAGTGACCTCGCAGACGGCCTCTGGTGCCAAGCGTCGAGAGGAGCCGCTGCGTGGGAACTGGCAGAAGGACACAGCCTCTTGTGACCCACAGCAGGCCTTGCTCAAGGCACTGTCCTTGCTGGGCAGCGATGACTGGTAAGAAAGGCCCCGTTCACTCTGTCTCCCTCTTAGCGTTAAGGTAGCTCAGAAGTGGATCTTGCTAGTGCCTCTGAGCCCCGACAGCCCAGAGGGCCAAGGGGCACCAGTGAAACCACTGCAGAGCCGTGAGAGGATAAAGATTTGACAGCAGCCTTTTCTTGGCCTTGGTCTGCAGCAGTGCTCCAGCTGCAGCAGGTCCCTGCCGTTTGCTCGCTTTGCCTGCTGCTCCATGGAGCTGCAAAGGAAATCTTGAGGGAAGAGAGAAAGCTGTGGGACAAGATGATTTGCTGGCTGAAGGATGTGGAAGCAGGATGGCTGCACTTTTGAGTGTAGAGATTTGGGTGCCTTGGAGCACTGGTCCAGTGGGAGTGAGTAAGATTTCTTCTCTCTGGCCCCACTGCTGACAGCAATGGCAGGTGACAGGGTCTCCCTGGGACCTCCTGCTGTGAATGCCAGAAGCAGCTCCAGGGAGTTCCTCTTCCTGAGAAATGGCCTGACTTGTGCTTTCAAGTCCCTCAGCCTGTCATTACTCCTGAAGGTCTCATGGCAGAAGAGAAGGAAAAAGAAATATAATCCTCTAGGAATCTTTTGGAATTCAACTTTTTCTTCTTTCTCACTGCATCATATGGGCCTGAAATAATTGGTTAAAACTCACATTGTGTCCCAAAATTTGACACAGACAGAAGGAGGCCCAGAGGTGGTAACCTGACGGATGTTGGGAGGTATTGGTTGTCTTTTTGATGTCTGGGTTAGCACCCACTCACTGGTGGATGCTTCATTCACACGGAGATAAGGACTCCACTCACACTGGGATAAACATGAAGAATCTGCCACAATGCATCTCCTTGTGCAGTCATCTTTTTTCTTTGCCCTTTCTCTTCTGCTTTCTCTTCCCCATTTCTCCTTGGTGCCCTGTGAGGTGCAGAGATCCTCTGGAGGTGTGGGGGAGTCTGGGTGACACTCAGGGGTTCCTGTGGGATCAATCACAAGCCCTGTGCTGCAGCCCTGATGCCTCACAAACCTGCCTGTAGCTGAGGGCCTGCACAAAGCAGGTGCTGGGAGATGGAGTTGTTTGCACCTTTTAAATAACATATTGCTCTTGTGGGGGTTGTTTTAGGTAGTGGGTTTTGCCAGAGTTTTAGCTGTTCTTGCCCAGTTGTGCAATCTTCTGGGACATCCTGCTGCTTTTTTGGGCAAGGAGGAAAAGAAGTGGAGTGGGTGAGAGACAGGCCTGGATTGCAGAGTGGAAAGTCAGCTCCAGAGTGCCAGTGCAGTCTCCTACTGCTGAACTGCCTGCTGGGGCTGGTAAAGAAGGAAAAAGCCCCAGTAACAGCCCCATGGGACTGTGTCTCAGGGGCAGGAACAGGGAGGTGACAGGAAACAGCTGCGTGGTCCGGTCTCACAGCTTCTAAGAAGCAGTGAAACACGGATTTCATGGGCCAGAGGTTTCAGAAAGGCTGTCTTGTAAAATGGCCACAAATGAAGACTCTGAAACCCCACTCTTTGCCTCTTGGATTTGTGTGTGCTTTTGACAGCCACAGAATCCTGTGGCCACGAGTTCCTGAAGTGCTCCTTGAAAAGCACCTCCCACTGAGGTCCCACTGAGCTGCCAGCCTGGTCATTTCAGAGGGTTCAGGCCTAGTTCTTGGGTGGAGAGAAAAACCAATCTTTTTGGGACTTGCCTTTCAGGGAGCTGAAGGAGAAGGCGCTCTCCAGCATCGGACAGCTGGCTGGGTCCCATTCAGAAGTCTTGCTTTGTCGACTTCGTGATGTTTGCCTGGCAGTTACCAGTGAGGTGAGAACATTCTTCTGAATTGTCCCCCGTACCTCATACATGGTGTGTAGAGCAGATATGTGCATGTTCATGTCCATGTGTGCTCAGGGATTGCCTTCATTTCTGTTTCTAGACCTTGTATTTCTAATGTCTCTCAGCTAGGATCAGTGTGTGCATGTAGCTGTATTTCCTGGTAGGTTGGCTGTCTGACACTCATCTTTGAGTGAGGTGTCATTGTAAAGCAAGGTGCAAATGCACAAACTGAGACATTAATTATGTTATTTACCAGGATCCTAACCTCTGCTAGAGCTGTAATTCAAGACTGGAAATTTCTGTAGACTTGAGCCTGTGTTTTCTGTTTCTGGTCAGAGTCCTTCGATTGATGGTGTTGCTTTTTTGGACTAGAGCACATGTCTCCTTTGTTGTTATGACTTGGGCCTTTATGGTTTGCAAGAAGCCCTTCCTTTAATTTGTTTGTTTTTCAAGTAAAAGGGCCTAAAATCAAAGTAGTGCACATTTTGGAAGTCTTAAGTGAAATATTTTTTTTCTAGGCCTGCTGTCAGCAGGTCTGAGGCCAGAAACTGGTGCCAGAGTAAATGCTTTTCTGTGCTTGTGCTCTCCTGCTCTTATTGTGCTTTTATCTTCCCCTGGACAGAGTGGGATGTGTGTTGCTGTACTGGGGATGGCAATAAGCACGACAGACTCTTGTGCGTTGAACAGGAGAGCAAAGTTTCTTATTCTTGATCTTCTTTTATAGACATGTTAGAGAAAGCCTGAGAAGTAAACTCTCATTGGTCATTAAAGCAACACATCTACCTTCATTGGTTAAGTGTAACATCAGCCTCTGACTGTTTTCCTAAACACCGCCTATAAAGATTGTTGTCCTTTACCAAGGACTGTTTGGATTCTTATGCTTTCTCAGGCCAGAATGAGAAGACTGTGACTTGGTTTCACACAGGCTCTGTTCCCTTCTTTTAGCATTTAGCATCCACAGGACGTGTTGTCATTTCCAGGGACTGTTGTCTAAGGCCACTGGTTTTCTTTTCAAGGTGATTCTTATGTTTCTCTCATCACTTCCCCAGGTGACCAACCTTCGCTCCAAGGTGTCCTACTCTGGGTGATTCTTATGTTTCTCTCATCACTTCCCCAGGTGACCAACCTTCGCTCCAAGGTGTCCTACTCTGCAATCGTCACTCTTGGAGAGCTCTTTGCAGCCTTGAAGAAGGACATGGACTCCGTGGTGGATGAGGTTGCTCGGGTCCTTCTCCAGATGGTTTGGAATTCCCCAGAGTTTCTGGAGAAAGCAGCCAATCAGACCCTGGGGATCATGGTGGAGAACGTGACTCCTGCACGAGCACTGGCTGCTCTCATGGACAGGGGAGCCAAGTAGGTTCTTCTTCTTCTAGTGATCTTCTTCACCTTCTAGTGTGTGCGTGGGGGAAGGGATGAGAGACAGAATGGGAATGGTGGGAGGGAAGGCTCCTGCATCCTGCATCTTCTGTGAAGTCAGGGACTTCATTCCCCCATCAACCTCACTTCTTTCCTCTTGTCACCTGTTTCTGCCCTCCTGCAGCCTATAAGTTCACAGAATCACAGAGCTGTAGAATATGGGGAGTTGGAAGGGGCCCATCAGGAGCATCGAGGTCAGCTCCTGGCCTTGCACAGAACACCCCAAGGATCACACCAAGTGCCTGAGATTGTTGTTAAAATGCTTCTTCAACTCTGTCAGGCTTGGTGCTGTGACCACTGCCCTGGGGAGCCTGTTCCAGTGCTCAACCACCCTCTGGGTGAAAACCCTTTTCCTCATATCCAACCTAAACCTCCTCTGACTCAGCTTCCTGCTGCTTCCTGGAATTCTCCCAGCCTGTCAGAGCTTCCCAGAACTGGTGAATGGTGGGAAAAGGATAGTGCCTGCAAAGGCTAAGGATAGAGCCTTGTGCTTTTGTGGGAAGAGGGACAATTGAAGTTGTAGCTGTGAGCGCTCTTTGATATTTCACAGCGCTAAGCACAGAGGCCCTGGGACAAACCATGCCTCCTCATTATGCCATTAGCTTGAGAAAGAAGGAGGGGACTTGCTGGGGCATGGAGCACATGGAAGAGAATGTGCTGGGTGGGGCACAGACAGCACAGCAGGTGCAGCTCCTGCCAAAAGGATTCTTGTAGGACTGTCCTGGCCGTAGAGCTTTACTTTCTGTTCAAACTGATGTTTCATGTTAGCTTTGAGATGATGAATCACTTTACAGGCACCTTCACAGGCCGAATGCCATGGGACAGCTGAAGCAAATGCTGCCTTAAGTGTTGGTGCTGGGCCTGATAGTTCCCAAGAGACAGTCTCTAGAACAGGACAACCTGGCTAAACTGCCTGCCACCCCTTCCTCAGCTTTGGAATAGGGTAAAACATTCAGATGTATCCCTTGCCAAGCCTCACAGAAGGAACAGGCAGCATTGCTGAATATTCTGCAACCTCACGCCCCAAATCATGGGGCATTTTCCCTGCATTTGTTTTTCGCAGGAGGTCTCTAGAATTGGGGGTAAATGGGAGGAAAGAGCCTCAGTCCTGCTTCTGCTGCTTGGTGTAGTGGGTGCCTCTGATGGGTCAGCATGAGTTGTCATTAATTTCTAAATTATTCATATGTAATCTATTTTTCAATCTTTCTCAGAGTAAATTTTGGGAAAGAAATTGAGTA